AGCTGCAGAGATTTAATGGAAGATAGATAGAATTCTAGTGGCAATGTATTTTATGACGAATGCTTCCATTTGCTACCAAAAGCTGCAGAGATTTAATGGAAGATAGAATTCTAGTGGCAATGTATTTCATGATGAATGCTTCCATTTGCTACCAGTGACCTGTTTCTGCTGCCTCAGGGAGAAAAAGAAAATTAAAAATTAATTAATATCTATTTTCATCATATTTGAGAATACTATTTTCTAATCTTCTGTTTCATTCGCAGCTAGCACCTCAGGGAGAGTTTTGTCTCATCTTAGCCATCTTAAAGACAGATATCTCTTATACAACGTATTTAAGTTAGTTCAAGGGAAATTATCGTGAGAAGAATTATTAACCTATTCTTACAACTACTCTCTGGAGTGACTTGAACATTAAGTGTTTAGAACTGTACATTGAATACTTTAGAAGTTAGTATTGTGACTAAAATAGGCAAAGTGTCTACTACTAGATGTCAAATCAGATTAATATGTAAAACCTTCCACATAATCTACATTTCTACACAGGTTACAGCCCACTCCTGCAAAACTTGTACCTTATTAGTAATTTGAGCAAAGCCTGTAGCTTCATTACATAGGACATTATGTATCTCAGTGAAATCTCTCATATTTCAAAGTATTAATATCACAGAGCCTTCATACAGCAGAGTGGAAACATTTTTCATTGCTTGAAGATTTATAAGAACTTTGAAAGGCTGGTAGAATTCATGGGTGTATTTATTGATATGTATATTTATTTTTCCAATAGAATACAGACAGATCAAAGGACTGGTACAAGACAATGTTCAAACAGATCCACAAGATAAATAGAGGTACTGTAACACAGATCTTTTCATTTACTTTACAAGACAACTGCCTTGATAACATTTGTTTCATTCATGTGAAGAATTGTACTGGATATTATATAAAAGAATTTTATGTTAGTTGATGTTTGCTCTACACCACAGAACTCGACCAATGTATTTGAAATCTCTGAAGTCAAAGGTGAGAGAACAGTGAAGGCCAAAGAAAAGTCTGAGTTGTTCTGAAAGGTCAACTGCAGTGTCCTCATGAAATCAAGAGTACTGTTTGAGATCAGAAAGCTGCTATTAATTTCATACTTAAAGAAAATAGATCCCTGATCTCCAGTTTTAGCAGCTAACACCCCCACCCCTTCAAAAGGGCATTAGGTTGTCACTTGAATCTGCTCTGTGTATAGGAAAACTTTTTACTCTGTAAAGCTTTACCACCTGCATAACACAGCTTGATTTGTAGCTCACTGAAACCAATGGGAAGGTTTCCACTGATTTTTTGATGAGTTCAGAATTTTAACTCTGCTTTACCTCAAATTTTCTCATTTCAAAACTTAAAAATGTGGTGAGCACTTGCTAAATATGTAGTGGTGCTCTCTCAGGGATTCCCCTACTTTGGGGCACCTCTGTGCCTGGCTGCTGATACGTTCACGTTCTTTCTTCTGTGTGAGAAATGGCTGCGGTAGCATTTGCAAACTGAACCCTCTCACAACCTGACGTGCAGGCAAATGCAGTTCAGAACTGTGCTTATATAATAAAATATAAAGCATGCAAAACTGGAGCTGTATTTGCTGCTGTAGGTGCTGTCGTGATGAGCTTTATGCCTAGATAGCTGCTGCGTTCTACTGGAGTGAGAAAGAGTTGAACTGTTTCCTAATCCCAGTGCTCCTAACAGAGGTTCTTCAGCTCAGCCAGAGCCCGTGCTTCAGAAGGAGGAGAATGAGTGCAGTCCTCTTGGCCTGCAGAATCTCTCACAGGGTCCAGATGTGCAAGGCAGCAATGAGCAAAGAGGCGTCTAGGTTGTGTCATGCTAGAACAGCAGCACGAGAGGGACTGTTTTGCAGTCAGCTTGTATGGATTCTTGTCTCACCCTTCTTCCCCTTTAAATCTGTCCTCTCTGTTCTTTTTTGCAAATCGTGTTCCTTTCCTTAGACACTCCTGAAGAAAACCCTTATTGCCCTACCTACATATTTCCTGAACTTCCTGAAATCCAGCAAAAAACTGAAGGTACCAGAAGCTTAGTCAGAGTATCTGTTGTCTTGTGCTTTGAGTTAACTGTACTATAGCACCCTAATAGTAATTAGATTCAGGTTCTAGATTACCATTACCCATGTGTTACACTGGCTGGAAATCCAGTTATGCCCAGTATACCTTCATGTGTGCTGCATAAAATAACTAAGTCTTTGCTAATCCATTAATCTTTTTGTAAAGTATAATGCCATTTACTCCAGTGTTATTAAAGTAGGCAATAAAATCATTCGGTAGTAGGAAATCGGGGGATGAAGCAGAACTTCCACTTCATTGTGGATGGTCTCAAAAGCCACTACTTTTCTCTGCTGCAGAAGACAATCCTTATTCTCCTACATACCAGTTTCCTGCGTCTACTCCTAGTCCTATCTCTGAAGGTAATAATAAAGGACCCTATATATATATTTTTCTGCACAAATGCTGCCTTACCCATTTGTTTTCTTCCTGGACTTTTTTCTAGTTGCTGAGCATTATGCTGCCTCATAATGATTTGCTGCACTTTAAGCATTGCCTTGACTGTATGATGCCTTTTTGGCTTTGCAGTGCTCCTCTGGCTTTGTAATTAGTATTTGACTAATGCTACAGACTTGGGGTTTGCTTGGTTTTATGCGCTTACCAGTTGTTATTTAGCCATGTGTGTGCAGTGATTATTTAACGTGCCTAGAATGCTGAATTACATGTAAAGATGTGGTTTAACTGGTATTTCTCTCAGCTCCCTTTTGGATCAATACTTTTGTTTAATTATTTACTTCTCGTTTTGAATATTAACACAGTACTAGGGCCAGACCCAAAATGCCACTGAAGTAATTGGTAAAAAGGCTGCTTGCTTCAGTGGGTTTGGGTCAGTCCCTCAGTGTAGTCTTTTAATATAAGTATAACTTGGTAACATAGGTCCAGGGGTGGCCTTAGGTGCACTTGGCATATCTAGGCAAGGACAGAGTTTGACAGTCTCATCAACACGTCTTGCGACTTCAAATAACAATGTCTTCACCTTATCCTCTTGATGTGCTCAGCAGATTCCTTTAAACTTCATGTACAAACCAGAATCCTTTGCAGTAATGTTTCAAGGTGGGTGAAATAGCATCTATTGCAGTGATAATCTGTAATTGTGCCCGTGCATGAAAGTACTTACATATGAGAAACATTGGAATCCACTGCACACATTGGACATACAGACATTTCCTGGTTGGGAAACTGTTGTTGGTGACAGCCTTGTTGGCTTGGTGCTTTGGTTCCACTTAAGATCCTGCAATTTAGGAACTTGCCTACTTAGCCTGTGCCTCAAGCCAACCCTGGTGAGACTACTAATTAACCATTTTATTCAATGTTTAGATTAAATGTTTGGTGGATGCTGTGTAATAACAAAACATACAATACAGGTTCTAGATGAGATGCTCTAAAAAGACTAGGAGATGTAAAGTGCATTTCACTATTAAAATGAATGTGGACTAATGTCATGCAGGCATCTGAGATATTTCCATATTTCTTGGTGAAACTTTTAGGTGAAGAGTCCTGTCTTGCAAATCATAATGCAGTGTAAGTTATTTTAATTGCAGAATGGTATGTGGGTATGGATGAGAGAGAAACAGAGTCTCAGTAACAAATTGGTGAAGGAATTTTACAGAGATTCAATTTTCTTTTTCAGAGGAAATTTTGAAAATCCATTTTGCTCTTGTCTGAAAAAAATATGGTTTGCAAAACCAATGATGATGATGATACACTGAGAGTCTGGTTTCCCATAAATATCTGCTATGCACTTAGAAATGTGCATATGAAAGTAACAGGCTGGTTTAGGTAGTTGAGATTTTATTGGACCAAACTCTTTTTATTCACAATATATTAGGGAATGTTGCTTGAATATTTGGTTGGATTCTTTCCTTGATAAGGAACACAGAGTATCTCATGATGAGGATGGTTTGGACTGCGTTTTATGTTTAGAAAACATTTCAGTTATGTTACTCAATAGTAGAGTGTTTATATAGAGATGGGTTGAAGTCTAAATTTCATACAATCAGTGTTTTTCACTTTGGATTGATGCATAGGATCTCCTAGAAATATCAAAATTTGGGGTTCCCTCTAAAATACCTTTAGAATCTCTAGGAACATAGACAACATAGTCAACCCATTAACTGTCCCATTCCCCCCAGCCCTGCAGATTCTCTAAGAACTACAGAGGCACAACCTCTTGCAAAAGGAATCAGACTTTGCAATTACAAACTGGTGACACCCTGCTCTGTTAAAGAGGGTCCCACAGCTAGAATGCAGCCCTGAGAGCCAGGAAATCTTGTTTTAATGCTCATCGCTCATTTAATCTTTACAAAATCATTCTAGATTTCTGTGTTTCAGCCTTCCTTGCTGTAAAAAGGGGAAAAAAAAGTAGACATTCCTCTTCATAAGATCCTCAAAGAAACAAAACGTACCTCTTGACCTTATTATTGTAGATATCAGAATGTTAACAAATGGAAAACAGAAGTTATCTGAAGTAAATTTTTTTTATGGTTTACCTGTCTGAATAATGAGATATAATGACTGTTGATACTTCTCTTCAAGTAAATATTTTTTTTTCATTGATCACCAGTACTAAATAAGATTATGAGAGCTGAATGGCTGCGAAGATAGTTTCAGTCATTTATTCATCTGTATTTGTCGGGACTGAGAGCTTTGTGATTTAACAAGGATTTTGCTATCTGAATAAACCCAACTTTTATATAGGAGAACCAGTTAATTTTGTCAACAATTCCATGTAATAACGTTAAATATATAAATACCTGTTCTCTATCATTTAGGTTTAAAATATGAAAACTGGTCTGAAAATTGACCTTCCCTATTTTTTAACCTGAAAGTGATGATAAACATGCTAGAGTCAATAACCATCTGTTTGGAATTTAAACCTCCTAATTCGTTTATCAAGAGAAGTCAGCAGAGAGGCTAAAAGTTAAGACTTCTTTGAGCCTTCCTGAAAGGCTTGATTAAGGCTTGAATGCAATTTCAAGTCAGCCGTGTTAGCCAGATTGCTTTTTCCAGCAAATGGGATTTGCTCTAGCAGCTGATTGATGTCCTTGAGAGAAGATCTGAAAGTTGTTTCCATGTGTTGATCACTGTCACTAAATTCACACAACACTTTTTTAGCGTGTTCTTTTCTTATCTAGACTATTCTAGCCTCATTTTTTTTCTTTTTATCTCTGTCATTTTTAGTGGTTTCTTCACAGAGATACCAGTAATAACCTTTATTCACAGTTCTCTTTGCAATCATTGCATTGTACTTTCCTGAATTTTGCCTATGTCTTATATGCATCCCTCATCAGCAGAAAAAGATGATGGACTTGTGGGTCCAGTTTCCAGGTCTGATCCCAACCTTCCCTGCTACTACCTGTAATTCATTGAGGACTCATTCCAAAGCCTGTTGAAGGCGGTGGGAAAATATTGCCAGGTTTTAATCAAGCAAAAGTCTCTCTAGCCACCACTTGTAGGCGAGGGGGTCGTAACGCTGCCATCCTCCCACCTTCCTTTTGGGCACATCTACCTTGTGCACTTACAGTGCTGTGTTTTCTTTGAATAAGACAGTGTGTGGTGCCAGGGCCCAAACCAGCAGTTGTGCCCTGGGAATGGCATTGTGGTGTTGATGTCATGTAACACTTTCACCACTGAAGAGAGAAGGTTGTTCAGCTAAGGGCTGCACCACTCAGTTACAGTGACGTTCTTGCTAGCGCTTTTAGAGCTGCTTGACTCTCTTGTGTTCTATAGACATGTCTTTCCTCTTTTATAAAAAATAAACTCTTCAGAACAAGGATGAACTCTTGGTGCGAGTGTATGGGTATGTCTCATGCCAGGAACATTATCTGTGATTAAAAGATAAGCTGAGTCAGTGAACATACTTCAACCTGGTGTGCAAGTTAATACAAGGAAGATGTCCCAGCGATTATCATGTGTAATTGGGAGCAGGACTGCTCAGCACTACTGGTGTGTCTAGTAGCTAATGAATTATTTTAGGCATATACTACAGCTTTTAGATCCTTTATTTCTCTTTCAGCTTTTGATAAAGTGAATCTAATAACCCTTGCTGTAGAGGACTTTTGTGATAAAAAGCAATTGTTTTCTAAAGTGCTTTGAAAGCCTGGAGAAAGGTATTAGTGTAAGTAGTACATTAATATTTATGTCTAATCTAGGAATTACATATAAATGCAATTTAAACCTCACTGGGATTTTCTTTTTTAGGATCCTCTCTCTGTGGTAAGTATTGGACATTGTATTAGTAGAAGAAAAGAAAAGGGTCTCTGGTGCTGCTTCTCTGGGGCTTTTTCAGCTCACTTGCAAAATGCTTTTGTCTTTCAGATGAAGATTCTGATTCATACTCTCCTCGTTATTCCTATTCTGAGGACAGTAAGTAATTCACATTTCTTGTGTAATCTGTCAAACAGAAAGGGGATATAAAAGCATGGATTTATTTGCCTCCTGTCCAGTTCACCAATGTTCCTACATTGACTTATCCTACAGGCAGAACCCAGCTTTCAGTTCCCCGCTCTAAGAGTGAGATGGACCACATTGATTCAGAGAAGGTTGTTAAGAGGTCTGCCACTTTGCCACTGCCAAACCGTACCTCATCGCTGAAATCCAGCCCAGAAAGGTGACCTGAACTAAGGTGTATTTGGACCAGTACTGGAAGAATTTCTGAAAGCTGTGAAGGGGAAGGGAACAAAGGTGGAAGCTTTAGGTCCACAACTCCAGTTAAAGTTTTTGGGGGAGGTGGAGATGTAATTTTGACTCTTAAGTCTTCTGCTAGGCAGCAATGAACCCCTTTGTTGCCACAGCCCAGACCCCATTTTGTCTGTCTCTTTTTACCAGGCATCACACAGTCTGTCACATAGTTTCCTGCCTGGGTGGTAAGTGTTTCTGTGGGTGTCATGCCTATACAGTGCCTACCACAGAGACACAGTTTATGTTGAGCCTTGGTAAAAGTTTCAATACGTTTTCCATCTCTGAGAAGTCCCACTCATATGAACTTTACTGGAAGCAGATTCTAGTTAGTGGTGTTGCTAGCTAGAATATTTGTTGCTCTGCTGAATTATACCAGATCTTGAATTGCTCCTCCTTCCCTAAGTTAAAAAATGTACCCTGACTAAATCACAATTAACAGGGAAAGGAACCTGTCAAAAGGAAGTGCTTGTCTCCATGGAAACCACAGTGTTTCTTTCCTCAGGACTGACTGGGAGCCTCCAGACAAGAAGGTGGACACCAGAAAATACCGTGCAGAGCCCAGGAGCATTTATGACTACCAGCCAGGAAAGTCCTCGGTTCTGAACAATGAAAAGATGGTAATGTTTGTTTTATCCTAGTTTGTGGCTTTATCCTGTGACTGTAAAATACTCTCCAAGTGCTTGTCCAGTTCCGTTTGGATATGATTCCCTAGGCTTAATTTGCAGTGCTCGTGTGATGTATTTCCTGTATATTTTGTTTTCAAAACTGTTTTGCATAACTTCCTAACATTTTTGTTCTCTATAAAGCAAGAACCAGGGGGATTGAGAGGCTTCTTTCCTTTTGGACATGTTGTTTTCTGTGTTAAGTATGGATCACTAACCTCAGTTTCTAATCCATGTTTGACACTGCGACCTGTTCAGCAGCTGTTTTTGCCAGCTGTACTTTTTCTAGGGCACGACATTAGTTGATGCTGCTGGGTTGAATGCATTACACAACCAGACTGGTTCAGTTTCTGTGTTCTCCTGGTGCTTTAAACACTGAACAACTAATTTTTAGAGTGCCTGTAATGCGCCTTAGGAGATGCCTCTAAGGTGCATTACAACCTGGCCATCTCCCCTGGACTGCTTTCTTCCTCAACTGGACCTCATCCAGCAGGGGTGGCAGAACTGAATGTGAGGTGGTTTCCCAGCTACACCAGCGTGTAACCTGGAGTATGAAGTGAGCTGTTACCAATTTCTTTTTGAATTATTAGTAAGTAGTGCTGTGAATTGTGACAGCTAGGAGACATACAAAAGTCTCATTCTGTAGGCTTTGCTGAGAGCACTGGGCAAGGGGCAGGCTATAGAGGTGGTGCTAACCTCATCAGCCAGTCCTGCATAAATCACCACAGCTCATTTAAGGTGTCTTTCAGTGGTACAAACTTGATGCTGTAAGTGCAAGAAAATACTGAAAGAGCCTACTGGTAAATAGCCAGCTTGGTATACATAAAGATATAATTGTTCTATATAGACATTGATTTGAAGGACTCAATCAGAAGCACTAATAGCATGTGGGATTCCAAATGTAAACAGGACTTTGTGCCTTAACAGCTCAGTGACTGATCCATGCATAGAGGAGGTAAAGCAATGCTCCTGAAAGAACAGCCAAGGATTTTACACAAGAGTGAACAGAAATCTAAATCAATAGAAATGTAAGAATCAAGTCTGATCTGGGACCTGATGTTTCTCCTTAGTATTTTTGTGGGTTTTCTTACTGCCTTCCAAGTTCAATCAAGGTCCATCACTTTTCTGAAGATCCTGCAACCAACTTCTTTTCACACGTGTCCCTTGACTAACTTCAACAAACTTGCTCCTCATAGGGGCATGACCCTATTGCCTGTTGAAATGGACAATGGATGACTCTCAATTGTACTGAGTGTTGGCTTAGCCCATTAGAGAAGTGCCAGGGAGGAGTGGTTTGAACATGGGAGAGCAACTCCATTCCTGTAGTCCATCCTGGATCAAGATTTCTGATGACTTAAATGGCAATTTTGTCTCACTGCGAACAAGATTAAAGAGATTAAATCCAAGATTAAACCTTGTGGCAAAAGGCCTGCTTCATCTGTGTACTTAAGCCTTTGCAAAAGCTCTGTCATCATCAGTGGCACTGTAGATGTTCTGACTTCATCAGGTACTTAACTGAGCTGTTGAATCGGAATCTAAAAGCCACAAGCAAGACCCGTTATCAGCATAACTGAGAAAAATTGTACAGGGGTCATCGAAGACAAGAAGAATGTGATAGCTGTGCTACTTCCAATGTTATAGTTGAGCTTTAATTTCAAGCCGTAGATCAGAGAAGGTCTTGAAATAATGGCTTCATGGTTTCTATCAGTCTTGTTGAATACAACAGTAATGTTGGTCAGTAATTAGATCTTTAAAGGAGGCTGCAGGAGATTTGTGGATATCTCCTGGTAACCACACACAGAGCTGTGACTATCAGAATCTAAATCCAAAACCATTTCAGAACAACAAAAAGCTTCCCATTGATATCTGTGGGATTGGGTTGTTTTTTTTTTTATTTTATTTTTTTTAATGTAAAGGCAGTTAGATAACAAGATGAGTACTTTTGAATACAGTAAAGAGAAAAAATGGAGGCATTGCTTCTATTTTGTCTTTAAGAAATAGCCAAATCTTCTTCCATCAGAGATCAAAAATATAACAATTTATCTTTCAGATTGAAGCATTTCCCCTCTTTCAGCATCGACCCTGAGCTCTTGTCCTAGATCATGCATAATGGCTGTGGCAAAGCCCAGCACCACTGGGAGCTACTCCCTGCCTGAGTAACCCATCACAGGATGATTTACTTCAGGACACTTTTGCCCTCTGTGCCTGTGTATGGCTCATCACCTGTTGGGATGGAGCACTTGGAATCACACTGACCTATCAGACATAATGTATTCATGTTTTTAATACACTAAGATCCATTATGTCTAGACTAGGTACTCTGAAATGCAAGAGTTAGCTGGATACTTTTTGGGGAGTGGTACCTCATAACTCTCAGCAACAGACTTTTTTCTTTTATCTTCCTAGGAGTGTTTTTAAACAGCTACCACTATTTCAGCTTCCTTTGTTTCATTAAAACAGATGGTATGAACAAAAGGGAATTTCCTTCTCAACTGTACTGTGTTCTGTCCTGTCTGATTTTTCTTTGTTGTAGTTTTGTCTTATTCTCTAACATTTATTTGTGAAGAAACAAGTAATATTGTCTCTCTGTCCATCTCTCCAGAGATCTTTCAAGGATGCATTCTCTCTGACGTGTGTCTCCTTTGATTTAGGAAATCACCTTTCTGTTTGCAGTGTACAGAACAGGGTTTCTCACATATTCATGTGCTGTTAAAGATGCAGTATTTGATTCAGGTCTCATTGAATCTTCCTTTCTTTAACCAAAAGAAGATTTAAAAAAACCCTTAAAGTATATGCAGCATTGGGCTCGATGGAAGTGTCCGATATCAGGACTGAAGGACTGGTTGATTTCCAGCTCTTCCACTGAGTCTCCGTGTGACTCTGGGCAAGCTGCATAACCTCTCTCTGTGTGGGTCTCCTGATTTGTAAAACACAATTCAGTCACTTGAATGTTGCTCACAGTGATGCCATTAGGCTTAACAGATGTTTGCAAAGCAGCTCATGGCCTTTGAGAGAGAGGTGCTGTAGAAATTCCAAATTATAAGGCTAAGTGTCTACATTTGAGAATGAAAACCATGGGATCTGCATCTCTAACAGTGCGTCTCCGTGTATTCTTTGCATAATGTTATCCTTCTCTTTCTTCCATTCCCCTATCACCAACTCCTTTAGACTCGGGATATAAGCCCAGAAGAGATAGATTTAAAGAATGAACCTTGGTATAAATTCTTTTCGGAATTGGAGTTTGGGAAACCGGTAAGTTTGATAGTTCCATGACCAATGAAGTCAACCCACCTCTTTTTTTTTTTCCTCTTTTTTTCTTTTTTTTTTATGATTGTCACATCTCTTTTCTAGGCCCTAAACCTGGAACAGCTGCCTTACTCATTTTAAAAAGTTATTGTTCATAACATTGTCCTCGTACTGACGTAAAGCAGCTGTTCTGTGACCACTTTAGGTATTTTGAAACCATTTTCCAACATTCCCCCTTCCAACCATATGTACCAACAATAAAAATATTTTTTCACACACCATAGTTCAAACTGCATTTTTATTAGAAGTAATGCCCTGTTCTCATTATTGAAAGCCCTTATTCAAAACCCATATTCTCCATCTGCCTAACAGGATCTAGGATGGCTTTTAGGTAGCTTTAAATCAAAGAGAATCACTCATTTGTTCCTAGCCTTGGCTTGTAAACTGTAGGTCAGTAATTTCCAGCTATCCATAGACAGATCATAACCCTGTTTCCTCCTCATTTCCTTACACGTGTTAGCTGCCCATTGCCTAAATGGGGTGCATCAGTCTGTGTGGAATAGCCCTTACCATTCCCAGCAACCAAAGGAGTCTGAGAACAGTGTGCTTTCTTTTCAAATCGAGCTGTTTTGCTCTGTGTGTGTGTGGGAAAAAAAACAAACCAACAAACAAAAAAAAAGCCTTGACTTCCCCCTCTGGAAAAAGACACATCAGTGGTCATGGCTACTGGAAAAAAAAAGTTATTTTAGAGCATTTTGTGGCCTGGTTCTCACTGATTAAACACTGTTAACTTCATTATTAAATACTGTTTAATAAGCTACTCTTACTGCACTGGAGGATCTGTATTAGCTTCTCACAGCTATTAAGGTATAGTGGTTGTTTCTCCTTTCTCCTTGAGGTCAGTTGTGAAATGCCCACACACACTGTTTTTTGAGTGCTGAGATTTCCCTGCATGTACAACAAAACAGAAATACAATTTAAGGTTCAGTACTGTCTTCAAAGACAACTGCGCTTGGACACCAGAGAGCAGGTTTTCTTTAAATTTAGTCCTTATTCCCATAGGTGTGACAAAATTCCTCTGCACAGAATGTAGCTGCCTGAGGTGGGGTGCCCAGTCTGACCACATCACAGCAATAGTGTCATTTTTGCTGAAAAACAAACATGTACAGTGGCTGGGACATTCTATCATAGAGAAATACAGTTTATAGCTATGGACCTTCCATCTTAAGGTAAAGAAGGAGCTTCAACAGTGCTTTAGATGAGACCCCCTAGATCTTAGGCAGAAGTCAGGTAAGTCCCACTTCACTGAGGCTTTTAGGTGAAGTTAGTATAAGGGTTTAAGCCTTCACCAGTTGTCACAGTTTGAGATTTCCATGAAGTAAGAAGAAACCTCCTTCATTTTGCTGCAGTGTAATTAGTAGCCATATGTTCTTTCAAAGAGTGAGGGTTTGTCATCTCTATGATCCTTCAAGTTACTGTAAGTTAATGGAAAATGTGTCAGAGAAAGGAGAACATTTATGCCTTTGGGCCTTTCTAAAAGTGAGGATATATCTCTTCCTTAGAAGCATGCATTTGTACTTTTAATCGTGCAGCCTTGGCCTTTCTTTGGAAGAGGGCATCTCAGGCTACCCCAGCAATCCATCTCTCGGTGTGGCACTCTGTACATAGTGCTTTGGCATCAGGCACTTGAACTGAGGATGTCACCTCAGACTTTTATAGCTGGCAAAGCCCTATCTGAGCTTCATTACCACAGCCAGAAGAACATGCTTTTTGTGACTTTGCTCACTCTCTTCATGAGACAACCAGATTTTTGTGACCAGCTAGTGGCTAAGCCTCATGCCTAACCAGAGGGTTTTAGTTGACATTTACTACTGTCTGGGGTTTTCAAAGATTCTCCACTTGTTCCAGCTTTTTTCCTGGTGCTGAAAATAATATGCACTTCTACAGGCATGATTTCCCCTGGATTTCTAACTTCAGTTGCAGCTATGTGACATGGGCAGGGAACAGCCTTGGTAAAAGGGAGCACAAGATTTTTGTGAGCCTGTGGGTGTTTCTCTCCAATGACACCAGAATTACCAGGTTGGGGCTTTCTCCACTGAAGAAAGCACATGTGCTTCCTAGGGTAGCTGAAGCAGCACTTTGCTGGACCAGCACTCCAGATGTATTTCTGGGCAGCTCTGTGGACAGGCACATGCCCTGCAGGCAGGTAGATCAGTCTCTACAGCATGGATGCTTTTCCAATGTGCTGCTGCAACTGAAATTCCCACATGCTTCTTCCGTCCTCTTCACCTGTGGCTCCACAGCTCCATGGAACCCACCCATATGACTTGATGTTCAGTCAGTCTAGAGCTCAGTTTTCTTCTGCTGTGATTCTGGGATCATATGATATGGACACTTTCTCCTAGCCCTTCCTAAGACAGCACTGTGTAAGCTCTTTGCTCTGAATGGAGAAGCAAGGGACTGGAAGAAGAGGTGCATGTCTTGCCTTCTCACCTCCTTCCTTCCAGTTCCTTGCTCCAAATCTCAAACTGAAATCTCTGCAACATCTACTCCCCTGCAGCTGCTGATCTGGTTGAATAGGTATTTACTGTTTGCATCCACACAGTGGTTGTCCAAATGTAAAGTGGGACAGATTCAAACTACAGATCCAAGCAGTCTAGGAAGGAATTTGGACCAAGACCCAAATGTTGTAGCTGAGTCTCACCTTTAATAGAATAAAACTTGGACATTCCCTGTTAGTGTCTCAGAGGCACTTGAAGAATCTAGTAGCAGAAGTCAGTATGGACATGTAGGGTGCTGCTGAGTTTGCCAGCCAACAGAGGTTATTTTTATTTGGAAACAGAACAAATTTATTCCAATTTCACAAATTAAGAACAAAGTCTTTTTGAGCATATCAGTGAGAGATGCATATCTGGTGATATGAGGCTATTTGTCATTTGGATAGGTGTGTCAGGTCAAAGGTCTTTCACTTTGAATAATCCTCCCTGATATTTGCATGTGCATCCAAATGGGAAAATCCTATTTTGAAATCTATGCCTTCACCTATAGGATGAATTCTAAATAACTGGTTCCCAAACTTCCACATGACCCACTCTCTCTGCCAAAACCCCCACAAACAAACCCCCAAAACAGTAAAATAAATAACAACTCTGCATTCTCATTGCCCCACAATGCCACCCCTGGAAATTCAGCCATTTGTTCACATGGTATGTATTCATAGTCTGGTGGGAGTGGGAAAGATTCCCCCTTTTCTTTATCAAAGACCCTTGTTTTATCCTTTCCTTTTGAAAAGAAGAATGAGCAAAACACTGCTTTTTATGACAGTGTGGTTTTTTTTTTTCCCCCATTTTGTTTTGGTTTGGTTTTGTGTTAAGAATGCTTTAACCATCAGCTGTGGGCTCTAGAGAGTCCAAAAATCCCTTAGAGCACCTGGCAAAAAAGCAAAATTTCCTCAAACACTACTGAAAACAGCCCCTCCCAGACTGCATGTTTGCTCCCTTTTGCCTCCCATGATCTCTTGATATTTGTGCTACAGTGGATTTATCCCTCTTTCTATCTCTCTTTCTCTGTTGTGTTTTTTGGTTGTTTTGGTTATTTTTTTGTGTTTGGTTTTTTTTTTAAATTTCTTTTCAATGTTGATGCAAATCCCTTATTGTATTCCCTCTCTGTTCTAATCCAGTTTCCATATTCTCTGTGATGTCTTTCCTTATCTTCATTTCCTCATTTCCTTCCTCTGCTTTCCATCAGCCTCCAAAAAAGATTTGGGATTATACTCCTGGAGATTGCTCTATCCTTACTAGAGAGGATAGAAAGGTAATTGTGTCTCACGTATGTTGTACTACAGCATCTAGCGCGTATGTATGTATGTGATTTTTGTTTTTCTTTTTTTGTAGCATTGCTTGGGTTTTGTGTGCTTGGGAGTGATTTTTTTTTAATTGGGCTTTAGCTCGTTAGCCTAACAATTAAGTAGCTAGTAAATTGATTTAATAAATGATCCTTAAAGCATAATCAGCTGTAATTTAGAGTGGTTTTGCTATCTTGACTTGCAATGATAATTATACTAACAACATATTGCAGATTGTTACAGTATCTTTTTTTTTGTTTTTTTACAGGTGGGTTTTATAACTGTATGGTTTGTAGAATTAGATTCTAGCAGGCCTGTGCATCTCTTAATTTTGAATATGAAATGCCTAAAACTATTTCCTCTAATGATTGAAACACAATTAATTACTACTGAATTTCTATGTATTGTCCATAATATCTTTGTCTTTTTCAATTAAAAAGGCTCGCTTTTTTTTTTTAATTAACATTCCTTTGTTTTCCCCTAACCCTAAGCATTATTTTCCCATTCTTCTTCTCCTTCTTTAACCAGACTGATCTAGAAAAAGACCTCTACCTCTACCAGACTGAGTTAGAGGCAGATTTAGAAAAAATGGAGAAGCTTTATAAAGCGCCACATAAAAAGCCACAGAAGGTATTTCCTATTCTTTTCATGCTGCCAATCCCTGTTTCCAAACTCTCTGCTCTAATCTATTCCCTGCTGGATGATTATTAAATGAGGTTGGGATAAATAATGGTTCTGACTGTTCTGACTGCATGGCTTGCTGTGTTGCTGTCAGAAATAATAGAATGTGATGCTGAGAATCCGGCTTGAAATCCATTTCAGATACAGTGATTTCCTCTCTCCCCTGTTCCCTTTCAGTTGCTCCCCACCCCCACCACTGTCCTCCTTTAGGGTTTTGAGTTCAGTGTCTGCAAAAAAACCCTCACTATTTTTCACATGAATAGGCAGCAGCAATCAGCTTAAAATTCTTGGTCGGCGTCACGTCATCATCTCGTGCCTTTCAAGCGTGTTGCCGTCTACTCTCCCTTCATAGAAGCCCTGCTTTCTGCTAGGAGCTCATGCCTACCCAAGATTTGGATATTCCCAAGAGATTTTACACAATTTTCCTTACGCTGCACCTTGCCGTGGCCTTCTAGGGCAAGTCAGCAGCTGCTGCTGTTTTGAGGGTCTGCGGGACCCAAGCCATGAACTGATAGATCAGTTTGGTAATATGCCATTTTCTCTATTCTCTTCTGTTGTTGATTTTTTTTTTTTAAGCTGCGACATTTCATCAAGACTTGAAAAAGCTGCTTTTTCAAACACAAGGTTTGCTTTTTCTTGCTACGTAGGAATCCTCAGATAGATGAAGGGACACTAAATAGAGCATTTCTTCTAAAATTGCCTTTAATTTTTTCAATAACGTGCCTAGGGAGTGTTAGATGGATTTAAAGCAAGCGGATAAGAACTGGCTTTTGCTATTGAACCTGTGCAGCTGGCATTGCTTCTCTTAAGTAAGGAAACTGAATTGAAACATTGCTTTTCTTGTTGGTGCTTTGATATTTTTTTGGATGCTGAGGAATGTATTGTGCTGCAGAAATGTAATATACCTTTAAAGCGAAGGCGGGCAGTGATGGGTTGGGGAAAAAGCTTGGGGAAATAATTATGAGCATGTGTCTGCTGGTCATGGCCCAGCTGGTTATCTCTTCTTGCTTTTGGCTTTATTCATAACGGCTCATTTGCAGGCAAAAGAATAAGGCGCTGGGAAAAGGCATCAGCTGTGCTAAAAACCTGTCACTGCCCTGAAGGAACTCGGGAAAATTGTTGCTTTTCTGCAAAGACATTGACAGCTTAAACTGCATTTAGACTTAAAGCTCAATGTCTGCTAAAGGCTAATATTCAAGCAATAAATGGAAAATTACTTAAGCAAGCCTTTTTCCTTCTCCTTGCATGTAAGTGTGTATCAATGACTCCTTTGTTTGGACTTTTACAGAATACAGCAGGTGTTACTCCTCTGGAAACTTCCACAGACTATTCTTCCTAGTAAGTTTTCCAATTGCTTTTGATGTCTCTTTTACAATATGAAGGCATGTAGGGGACAGTTTTGGGCATTGGAAATTAGTTGGCTTTATTTTTTTAGTGATGAATATAGACAAATGCAAGTACCATGAGAATTGCACATGTGCTTTAGATGAGTCGAGGTATAATATCTTCTCTTTGATCTTCAATGAATTTTGAAGTGATTACACGACTGATTGCTTTATCTAGATAAAAGTTGCTGATTGTGCTAGGCAGTGACTTAAACAAACATACCTTTAACTCCATTTTGTTGAAGTTTGGAAATTAACTTTATGCAAGTAACTTTATTGCGTGGAATAAACACAATTTTGTTTCTGTTACACATGTATGATAGATTGCCTCCTGTTAGATATATTCCCAGTTATGCACACCAGATCAAAAGAATGCTGTTGATGGAAAGCAATAATTTTCCAGCTTCCAGGAAGGGAGCAGAGGTAGCAGTAGCAATATTTCTCAAAGATCTGATGGGACACTACTTTTCTGGAGGAAGATGTAATAAACAGTATCCGCTGTCTAAATGAGTTGTACCTAGAGCTGATTTGTTTTAAAAGAGGAACACACACAAAAATTAGAGCAAGATGCTGAGTTCCTTGAGCCATGGATCCAGCTCCTTCTGTGAACCTGCTGTTCCTTGTGTTGTCCATAGGCACAGTGATCCCCTCAGTGCGGATGGTTTATTAGGAAAGGCATGCTCTTGTCCAGATGGCCATTAATATCATGTGTTCCCTGCCCCTCTGGGGCTGCCTCCTGTACTTCTTTCAACTCAGTTCCCTTCTGTCTGTGTTCATTCTGCTGGGAAACACTCATACTGCTGCATTATGTTGTTTGCTCCTATGACTCTAGTTTTGTTTTGGTAAGGAGAGACTGGTAGGGTTTCCATCCATGGCAGCACTGTCTATGCCCTTTCTGACACCACCAAAAGTGTGGAGGAGTGTCAGCATCTGCACTACTGGAGGGGAAACAACCTGAGTAGGCTGGGCATGGGACACAACAGCAATGCCCTGCCTTTAGAGAGCAGGGAGAAAAGATACCTGGAGTTTGTTGTCTTTTTTGGCAGTGTTGTTCCTCTCTCCATTACCCTGGTTCTGATCTTGCAGCCTGCTTTGGCCCTAGAACAGTACTGCTTGCTGGCTCTGATAAGGAAGCAGCTAGTAAAGGGACTCTAACAAATGCCTTTTCTCTCTCCCTCAGGTGTATTCCCAAAGGTTTTAACCCTTGGATTTTTAACTGCTAGGCTAAAATGCTTTTACCTCCCAGGTGAGGAACCTCAGGGCAGTCATTATTGCCTGCAGCAGCTGGAAGGGCTTCCTCAGGAACCTGACAGAGACACTGGGATAATCCCCATAAGACACAACAGCTCTGTCACTATGGGTCTCTGATTATTGCCAACGTTGAAAAAGTTATAGTATTCCCTTTTTCTTTTGTGGTGTTTTTAACAAGCTTTTACTCTAGAAAGTAATTTTTAGGACTGCATATGACCTGATTTTCCTTGTCCAGAAACTAAAATCTTTGTGATCCAGCCATTGTGTAATTCCACCTCCAAAGCCAGTCCTCTGATGTGTTTGAAAACTTTCTCTATACCCCATTATTACTGTCTATCCAAAGTAAACAGATGCATGTACAAATTTATTCACAACAAGCAGGCATAACCACAAGCATTTCCACACTCGCATAAATTTGAATCACTCCTGGACATCGGGATGTAAATGAGCTTTCAAAATGTTCCCATGAATTGGCAAATCCCTTATTTTATTTTTTTTCAAACTTTCCAGCAGTCGTGCCTTGGCCTCAGAGTAGCTTTCTGTGAGACTCCACCTTATTCTGAAGAGCTTGGTTGAGCACAAGAATTGGTATTAGATGAGCTTAACTTTTAGGAAGACATTGTCTGCATGGTGGCTCAGTGAGTGTTTTGTACCTAGAAAGGCCATCAATACCATGGCATTGTTGGTTAGTTTTTTTTGAGAGGAAACAATGAAATCTAGAAATCAGATGTGGAGCCATACTTGTGCTTATATTCATGACTGAGGAAAGGGATTTGTAATAAATGCCCAGTTTTTAGGAGCCTAAGAAATTTAAATCTTTTTCATTTTAATAGCATCCTGTTTATATATCTGCATGGTAGGCCTAAAGTCCAGGGTTTTTCACGCCCTGTAGTGAAAGCCTGAGGCAAAGCTGAGCAGAACAGTGCACATCTGGGAATTTCTTTGTCATTTAAAAGCCAGTAGTGTCTATAGTCCTGTACTCTGCATAGTCCCTCACTGATAGGCTTGAGAAATTGCTCTAGGAATCTTGAACTGTAGTGTTAATTGGGAAGCCAAACTGGTTGGGATGAACTCCTGAGCAGCTGTGCTTTGTAAGCAGCGAACAAGCATGGCCAGTGTTTAAGGAGAGAGGACTGGCAGCTGTAAGATATTTGTACTACTTGCAGTTAGCCAATTAATTTCTTTGTATCTACAAAAGAATCATGAATCTGCCCTGTGTCTCTGTTGTCTCCTCTGTAAAATAAGGAGTGCTTTCCTGCTGCAGAGTTCCTGGGAGAGTTCCCCCAGGTGGAGAATGCTATGGTAGTGCCAAAGCTAGAACATCATCAAAACGTATTCATAACCTCTTCATTTAGCACCAGTTCTTCATACACAGCCTATCCTGGATTCACAAGTGTGGTTTTCTTTTACTTTGCACAAAGCTCTCAGCAAACAGAAGTGACCCACTGGTGTCCCTCTCCCTTCTTTTATCTTGTCCAGCTCCACGTACTCACCCAACTACCATGCAGTGAAGAAAGAGTCAGAAGCAGCACTGGGGGACCCTGCTGGCTTGGAGAATGAAAGACAAATTTACAAGAGTGTGCTGGAAGGTGGAGATATCCCATTCCAGGGGCTGAGTGGTCTCAAGCGACCTTCTAGCTCTGCTTCCACAAAAGGTAGGTGGTCAGAGCACTAACCTCTTCTCCGTTCTGCACAGTGTCAAAAGCCAGATGATACGAGGCAGACTGCTGCAGGGTTTAGAGACCTATTCAAGTCAGTTGAGGTTTCCTTTGTTGTTTGTCTTTGCTATCCCCAGTTTTCCTTCCTTTTTTCTCTCAGACCACACTGGCCAATATTCTTCATGACCCCTCTATCTGATACAGGTTCCTCTTCCCAACAGGAACCAGATTCCTCCATCTAGCACCTCAGCCAAACCCCACACCCTCAGGCTCTTCCCCGAGGCTGCTCACCCTGGCCTTGCTACCCATCCGCTCTCACTGCCTTGCCATGCTAGAGCCCTTCCCTGCCTTTTCTTTTTTTCTCTGCTGCAGTACCTTAGCAGGGCACACCATGCCTGCTGGCCTGGCTACCCTAATGTAGCAGGCACCATGTGCTCCACAGCCTCCTGCCAGTGAGGGGTGTGCAGAGAATGCATGGAACACTGTGAACCAGCAACACCCTCCAGGCTCTGAGACACCAAAGCAAGAGAGACTGCCTCATCTCCTCCCCTTTCCTCTCCCCATCGTGGACTCTCTGTAAGATTAGGATAAGTAAGAGTCTGACTCCCATCAGGGAGTTGTACTGGGGAATGTATCTCTGAGCCAACTCCAACCTAAAAATGGCTTGAGATGGGGAGAGGACTAGGGAAGGAATGTGTTTGGTTTCTGAACTGTTCTCCCTAAAAATAGTACATCACACGAAAAAGGTCTCTCTCTGTCTCCATCTTCCAGCTGGTTTTCAGCATTGTGTCAGACCTGTAGGGCAGGGAGTCAAACTGGATCTGAACAAAAAAATCTGTTCAAAGAGTTGTTGTTCCCCAAACTGCAATTGAACCTGAATGATTATTTTGATATTTGAATTTGAACTCAAATCGGAAAAAGGCCTAAAAACTACAATCTAAGCTGAACCCAAACTGGATCTAACTTTATAAAAAAAAAAAACAAATGACCTGATCTGACTCCTTTATTTTTAAAGCATACGTAGCCAACCACGTTGTCTGAAGGACACTCAGCTTATTCATGGCATGGGGAATTGCTAAGCAGGCAGCTCTTGGGCAAGGCCAGCTGATGTGGCCTGCTTGTGCTAGCACAATCAGCCAATGACTGGCTTCTCCCTGCCAGGGATAAAGTGTTTGGCAAGCACTGTGGTTGAGACCATAGTAGGTGTGATTACAGGCTTGGTATTAAGCCATTTGTGCAGTGTTAGTGCCTCTGCATTCTTGCTGACACCCTGATCCTGTCCAGAGTTCAGCTGTCCTTTTTCATGGTGCTGCAGCTTCCCTGGAAGCTGATGATGGTTAGCACTTTTTAGGAGGCTACCTTCAAAGTGCTCCAGTTTTGCTTCTGGCCAGGCCTCTCATTTTAGAGGTGTTAGCAGCACTTCACCTAGTCCTGCAAGCGTGGCTTGTTGTGCAGTTTCTTCCTGCTTTTCTTTATGGTTTGAAACTTTGTTTTGTTTAAAGTGCATTTTATGAAATCCAAGCATGTTCTTTCTCCTCTCTCAAAAGCTTTCTAGCACTTAAGCTAACAGGTTGTATTTATTTTATTCTGCATGCTTACCAGTGGATCGTAAAGGTGGGAATGCTCATATGACTGCACCCTCTTCAGTTCATAGCCGAACCTTTAACGCTAGTCATGCCGGTATGTTAGGTCACGCATGTAAACATAAGAAGCCCTTATCAGCTGCAAAAGCCTGCATTACTGAAATCCTCCCTTCTAAATTCAAACCCAAACTAGCAGCTCCAGCTGCCTTTGTGCAGGACAAGAAAGATATCTTGCTGTCTCATGAGAAAGCTCAAAGCTGCGAAAACCTTCGTAGCTCCGTTGCCTTGTTCGATAATAAAAAAGCTTTGATGGTAGATATAGGGGAAAGCATAGAAAATATGTTGATGAAGTCAAAGCAGGAGTATACCATCAAATCCGGCAGTACCATGAGCCTGCAGGAGTATGGCACCAACTCTAGGAAAGGCAACCTGTTCCCTGCCTCCAGGAAGAGTGGGATGGAGTTTACGATGCTGTATAAAGACATGCACCAGATCAACCGGTCCAGGATCCATTTGGGCACAGTCTCCTCCTGCAGTGTGAGGGATATTGCATCTCAGTTTGAGAATGAACCAAAGGACAGGTTGGATCACAACCTTAGTCGAGAGGATTCAGAGCAGATCCCCAAACACACCGTTTCCTCCCGTATCAGTGCCTTTGAGCAACTGATCCAGAGATCCCGATCAATGCCCGCGCTTGACTTTTCCACTGGACAAAACAGATTCACCACTTCTCTCCAGTCTAAAACTTGTCTGAGTTCTGCCTACTCTGCAGAGATTCTTCTGGATTTGCCAAAAGCACACCAAGAAGAGAAGGATGCTGCCAGCTTGGCAGACAAATCCTCCCGCTCCTGCAGCAACGTGGAGGACACGGCTTCAGATGTCAGTGATGCCATCCCTACGGACACGCTTTCAGCTTGCACAGATGAGATAGATCTCCTCTCAAATGCATCCAATGACAGCGGCAGCGGCAGCAGCAACCTCAACGGGCCTCAGAAGCATAAAATCAGCAGATGCAAAGGCACATGCCCAGCTTCTTACACCAGGTTCACTACCATCCGAAGGCATGAGCAGCAGCAGGCCTCCAGGAACCCTGATTCCAGAGGGGATGTGTACGGGGACAGACATATGCTCCCCAGAAACGTCTACCTAATGAGCCCGCTCCCCTTCCGATTGAAAAAGCCTTTCCAAAACAAGTCCTGCAGGACTCCACCCCCAGACTGCCTGGGAAGCCCAGCAGTGCCCAGCCCTGAGAACCCAGACGACCCCATACAGCTGCAGGAGGGCATAGGAGACAGGAGTCACCATTCCCAGCACCACCTGTGCTCCAGAAACAGGCCTCTAGCCCCCAGGCGCCTGTCTTCCTTTGACATTGTGGAGAGGCTTGGCTACTTCCCCACCGTGGGATCTAGCCGAGATGGCTTCATGGGCCGGGCTGACACTCCTGACTCCTTAGACAATGGGAACCCTGTTCTATATGCCCTCTGTCACAGCCTGGACACAAACAACAATCCGCAAAGTGAACTTGGGACGTACCTAGGAGGTGGCTTTTTGTGTTCTTTACCGGTGTCCCTTCATCTGTCTTGCTTCCTTTCTCCTCCCCTTTTCTTCCACAACCCTTGTATTTTACTCCCTACCTTTGCATCCCCTGACTCTCTCTGTTTTTCCCCCTAGTGTGTCTAATGTCCTCTGCGTGTCTTGCTGAGCATTTTTGTTCAGGACTTGTTAACAGCTGCACTTCTGAGAAACGATTTCTGCTGCCTTTCTAATCGCATCAGGTTCAGTTTGTCTCTCAAGCAACTCCGGGGATACAAGAATCATAACATGACACATTTCTAGTCCTACATAATTTGCACACAAAACCCCAGATGATTTGCTTTAAGGAGCAGTTTCTCAAGGTCTAGTTGTGTGTGTGTGCGCGCGCGCGTGTGTGTGTATTAAATTTTTCTCTACAGTAAAATGCTAAATTGTACTCTGATGGCAGCGAATCTTCTCTTCACAAAGTCCTTCTATGTCTTTGCACTCTCTCGTACCGTTATTTTCTCCCTGTTTTGGATCTTTGTTCAAAAGTACAGCCCAAAAGGGAAAAAAATGAGATGGATAAATTATCGACATCTGATTGGCAGTTTGGCAATTGAGAATCTTTGCTGTCATAATGGAAACAAATTGTTTAAAAATATCTGGGTTTTTTTTTTTTTCCTTTCTGGTTATGCTAGAAAAATCCATCTATATTTTAACTTCCTTATGTTGTTTCAAAGTAGATTCAGAATCACCAAGGCATTTTGCACCAGCTGATTACATGGAAACTCCAGAAGAAATTCTGCGCAGACGGCATGATGATAAAGAGGTAATGCTCTCCTTTGTGGCCTGGTAACAGTTGTAGCAGCTCCACATAAAAGAAATATAGTGTTCAGCCTTATATAAGGACAGCTTTTATGTTATGGCTATGTATATTGAAGGTTAGAGCAACAAACTCAAACTAGTATGTTTTAATTTAAAACTATTTCTACCACTGATTTAATCTATAATGTGTAGTCCAGTTTAGCTTTTGTCAAAAACCTGGTATTTCTTATCAATTGCACAAAATAATATATGGGGGCTCTGAGGAATGTGAAAAGGTTGGAGATGTATGGGAGATGTGGTACAGCACCCCAGTACTGGCAGATAAAGATGAAATGGTTATTCTGTGAGTTAAGGTTTTATTGTTTTCCAAGCAAGCCACTTGAGTATGAGTCAAACTGGTGAGAACAGTATTTTTCTTATGGCATTCTTCAGGTTTTGAACAGCAAATGTAAGATATTTGAAGCTATTAGAAAGCGTGAAGTTTCCACCCAGTGCAAACTACAGTTCTTTATGGTGTCTCATGTTGTTGATGACAGTACTTTTCAAAATGGCTGGGAAATGCTGGGACAAGCTGAAATAACAGGAAAGCCACACAGACCTTTCAGCACTAACTATATTCAAGCTGAGTTAGAGAAATTATAAAGTGATTGCTTTCTGAGAAGCTGGAATTAGTTTTCACTGCCTGGGAACAAAAAAAAAAAAAAAAAAAAAGAAAAGAAAAAAGAAATTGTGTGTTTAGTGTTAACTTTCTGAGTTTATGTATGCATTGAAATTTGGTAAAACCTGCTCTTAATTCCTGTGTGAAAAGTATAATTTTGCTGTCTTCTCCCATGAAACAATTAGTAACCCCCTCCCACTTCCAAAATCCAGCACAAAAACTCATGTAAGAGCAAAACTCTGAATTCACTAAGACCTACTGGCTTCAAATGCATTAGCACAAAGCTGAACTCCTCAGCCTACAGTCTACCCCAAAAGGTGGGAGAATCCTTCTGCCCAGGTACTCAAGAATGCACATTTCCATTAGTGTGCCAGAGACTTTAGAAATCCAAAATAATTCTTTGGGGTTTATTCACTTTATTTTACAAGGTGTATTACATGAGCCCAAAGGAAGTATGGGAGAACCTGATACCTGGTTAGGCACTCTTCTAAACTCCTTGCAAATCTCAGGGGAGTCTGGTGCCTCACAACTTACCTGTGGGACTGATTCAGGTATCTTGGAAGTCAATGAGAGAAACTCCTTGTTGGTTGAAGTTTGGTTGAAGGGATCAGCCCTCTGCATTATCAGCAGTCTTCTTAGAAGCCCCCAGGACCTGGCCAAAACTCATAAAAACTCCTCATTGACTTCCATCAGCTTTGGATCAGATCCTCTATGAGCTGGGTTTCAGTTATGTCACAATGGTGAGGTACCTTCTATGCTTGCAGAATGAAAGAGCGTTGTGTAGTTAGTAGAATTAGCATTTTATGTTGAACTGTAAAATCCCAGCTATTTGCTGAGACCTCAGAAATTTTGTTTAAGTCACATTTATGGCAGCTTTTGAATGCCTTTAACTAGATGATTTACTGCCCATTTTATGCAATTTTATGGCAGAAACTTTTAGAGGACCAGAGACGGCTTAAACGTGAGCAAGAAGAAGCTGATATTGCAGCTAGAAGGCACACAGGGGTTATTCCAACGCACCATCAGTTTATCACTAATGAGCGATTTGGGGACCTCCTAAATGTAGACGATACAGCAAAGAGGAAATCTGGGTCAGAGGTCTGTTTTAGTTACCTCAGTCTGCTGCTTGACCCAAAGCAATATTTGCCTCTCACAATGTTGTGCTTTAGGCCAACATTAGCTCTTCAGAGAATGTCGTTTGTTTTTGTTTTGTTTTGTTTTTTTTTTTCCCACTTTCCCCTTTCCCATTCTGGCTTCATTTAGATCTGCTTTGACTCTTGTGCCTGGTAAATAAATTGATATCTCTATACCAAGCTGCATATGTTAAAGCATGCCTGCTGAGAATTGCTGGTGCACATCTGTCATGCATGCCTTTAAATATCAGCTACTTTTAGTGAATCAGAGGCATTCCACATCTTTTGCATCATATTGCTACCTCGTCTTCTTGTCTGTGCCTTATGCTTAGAAATTTCATGTCTTGTTGATCCTGGCCATGTGACTGCCTCATAGTTTTTTTAGAAATAGATTGTTTCTTCTCCTCTTGAAAGATGCTTAATGTCATCTAAAAACAATTGGGAAAAAAAATCTCAGCACGTTTCACTGCCTATGACCTAATTGGTCTTTCTGAAAGAGACAAAGGAGGAGGTAGTTGGTTTTCCCATGAGCCTGAGTCACTTTACCTGAGGACTCAATATTAGTTCAGGTGTAGTGGCCAAATGCCTTTTTCTGCCTTAGGGTTTGCTGCTGGGGTTCCTGACAGCAGCTTTGTTTCCCCAGAGGTACTGCACTGCAGCAGTTTGAGATGTTCACCCTGTGGATGGAGTTCACCTGTCCACCCTTCATGTAGTTTAAAATGCTCTGGTGACACATGAATGTCACTACTTCTTGTTTCATGCTCTACTACTGAAATCACTCTAAAATTGTCTGAATATTTTGTGGCCATTAGAATATCAGCCAGGTGAATCAAGCTTTGAAGCCTAGGCCTGCTATCGACATCCTCTGGCTTTATAGCCACTGAAGGCATTTTTTTAGACACAAGCTTTATTTATTCTTTTTTCCTCCTCACCTTTGTCTCTTTCCTACCAATTTATAAAGAGTACATGGTTCACACTGCAGGATTCAGCAGGGCTGGGTAATAATCAACAAGAAACACATCGAGTGAAATCCTACTGCGTTTTTCCCAGCTAGTAAATTTTACTTTTCAATTCACATGTCTGGGGAAATTTGGTCCTGGAGCCCCAGTAACTGTAGTTACTGGAGCAGCTTGCGTTCAACAGGACTTGTCACATTTAAAAGTTCACTGCTGTGAAATCCATTTCCTGTGGAGTTCTTAATTACTGTTATACCTGAAGTTGGCACTTTTTGCCCTGGTGGGAGAAACTCACCCAATTTTGGGCTGTAGTACTAGTTGCACACAAGCTTGTAGCAGAATACTTGCATTCAACTTCTTCCCTAGTCTAATGTTAGCTATAGAAGAGTTTAGGTGCTTTTCCTCAGAAGAGGCATTGAAAACCTTATTATTATTTTAATATGTTGGTTTTTTGATCTCTAGATGAGACCTGCTAGAGCCAAGTTTGACTTTAAAGCACAGACGCTAAAGTGAGTACAGCTTGTTGCTACTGCCTTGTGTGTTCTTCTGCTTTTTTTCCCTAGGATGCAACACTTACAAAGTATCGTGCAACTGGATTCATGTTTGGGGAATGTATTTGCAACTGCTCAAAGTAAAGATGCCTATAGTAAAGCAGGGAAAAAGAATATAATTCTTGCAGGTCCTCTAGAGGAGCTTTAGGAAAATGTCTCCTTTCTCGGTGCATCTGTATTGCATGTGATTTTTAGGGCAAACATGCATTCTTTACTGGAATAAGTGAGTTATCTGCTCTGAGGATGGGTGGAGCCATGGGAGAGAGCTCTGGTTGATGTTCCTCCTCACACCTAAGCAGGATGGCTGAGTGAGACCTTTCAGCAGCAGCTCTGTCACTGCCCTTGTGTTGGAGACAGAAAGGATTCCTCTGCACGACATCCCTCATTGTGCTCTGATTTAGGTGCTGAAAGAACTGTGTTAGTCAGTAGCTCACTGTGTGAATCTGCCATGCACATGGTCACAAGAGCAGCCTTTACACTGTGCTAAGCATAGCCCAAAGTCAGCAAGGGACTTAAACAAATGCCTAGCTTTAAGTTTGTATGTGGGTCCTTGACTCAGGATTTTCCTGATTCAGGACCTATAAGGGGTACGGAGTGGTTGCTGCTCCCCTGGCATCTGTGCATACACCAGCAGGTATTTCTGTTGCAGCTCCAGCCCCTATTGTGGTCCTTTGGATGAGTCACATAGCATACACTTGGTTTTTCTGGGGAACAGAGCTATGAATAGGAGGCCTGGAAGGCTTTGCATGAGCCTGGAGAAGCTTTCATTTTAATGTTGCTAGGAGGGAAGAAAGAAGAACAGAATTTCAGTGAAGGACCTGCTGGTTTTCTTCTCAGTTTTCTTCTCAATCCTAGGCATTTTGTTACATGTTCCATAGGTGATGATTTGTAATGATTTACACAGCATCTCCCCAGCAGCTGTATTAAAACTGAGGCAGATGAAAGGTTTAACTGTTGTGTCCCTTGAGCAGAACATACCGGGGTGCCAGACCAAAGTAAAGCAGAGCTTGGGAAAGATTGCATTAGGAAAGGCAGGCTTGTTTGTTCTCCTGTGGGGACCCCACTAGTAGTTTCATGAACTTAATATGAGGTGCTGACAGTGGGCATTCCTCAGCTGCAGACCTTCCTAATTTTAGTACTGAAGACTGTAGATTGAAATCCCAATTGTTAGCTCAGGTGAGGTGGGTGTTTGCACAACCACAGGCTGACCAGAAGTGTAATCATTGCAAGATCAACATTGGTGTGTGAGGGAGTTCATCTAGTCAGCAAACTAGCTTCCATTAAAATCATGTCTCTCTTTGGAAGGCACCTGTGACATGATCTGTTCCAGAACAGGAATTGAGCACTGCTCACCATATCCAACATGAAAAGCAGCCAGTGGCATCTTTTGCTTTGAGCTTGACCCCATTGCTGCTGCAGGGTGTGTGGTTAGCAGGGCCCTTGCAGGCTGTCTTTTTTGACAGGATGCTCAAAGAGCAAGAGGGTCCCTGCACATCACAGTATGAACAGGATCTTTCTCAACCTGTAGCTTTCACTTTGGGTGGAATATGATTTGTATCAACAGGGCCAATGCAGACCTTGATACCTAGGTATTGCTAGACAGAGAACAGCTCTTCTCCAGTGAAGTTCTGATGGAGTGCTTGTGTTGTTAACAGGGAACTTCCTCTGCAAAAAGGAGATATTGTTTACATTTACAAGCAGATTGACCAGAACTGGTATGAAGGTGAACACCATGGCAGAGTTGGCATCTTCCCACGATCATACATAGAGGTAGCTGCTTTCCTTGCAGGTGTTCTCTTTGCCTGCTCCTTTTCTGCCAGTCTGTGGGCTTTTCGTATATGACTCGTTTGATTCTATTTGTTCATTCTAGCTCCTCCCACCAGCTGAGAAAGCTCAGCCCAAAAAGCCATCACCATTGCAAGTATTGGAATATGGAGATGCTATTGCTAAGTTCAACTTCAACGGGGACACCCAAGTGGAAATGTCTTTCAGAAAGGTAGGACTTCTGTTGTGCTGATGAATTGTATCCAGACAAACACTGAAGTTTTATAATGCTAGTAACTTGCAATTTCCAAATGAAAGCTCCAATGAGATGAACTCTATATTGATGAAGGATTTTTTCTCATCACCCATGTTTTTACTCCATAGTTGCTACGCAGCACAGTTGCAGGTAGGCTGAATCAAGAAGTGCCAATTGCTTCCTTAGAGCTAGCTGAGAAGATACTTTGGGCACAAGCACTAGAAGCCTGGCTCTGTGAGACAAATTAGATATTAGGTGACATCTCCAGTCTGAGACTCTCCAGTGGAAATGTACACAGTCACATGAGAACAGTGATAGAGAAAAGAAGCAAACTGGGTTCACCTTCCGTTGTACTACATGCCAAATCTCTGGGCACAGGCAAGAGAGGTTCTGTGGTATTGAAGTGACTGGCTAGACCTGACTGGAGAGAGAAGGGCTAAGAATGGGTTGTGTAATGGGTGTTCAGAGCAAAGTCAGCCATATTTAGATTAAGTAGCAGCATTTCTCCATCTCAGACAGCTTTCTGTTTTGATGCTCAGATTAGATCTTGTCTCTCTTTTAATTACACATGAAAGTGAGGCTTTCAGTTTACGTTAAGGAAGTCACTGCATTTATTAGCAAAAAGGGAAAGAGTTTAAAATGGAGACTTGTGCACACTCCCTGTACACCTCATACCCTTGAGAGTCTCATGGTCAGCCTGAAACTGCTGGTTTCTATTTTTTTTCAAACTGCCTTCAGCAAGTAGGGTCTTGAAAATGTGAGCATAACTGAGTTTGCAGACAGCCCAAGTCAGCACCAGAAGATCTGTGTTTCCTTCTCTGAACTGAAAAGTATAATTCCCACCCAGAGGTTAGGGTTAGGACCACATAACTGGGAAATAGGGGAGGCTGAGAGCCACCAATCGTTTTAAGTCAGCTGCAGCAAGATTAAAAATGTAATCTGCTTTGGAAGGTTGAAATATGGTAAAGTCAAGACTAGAATACTGTTTCTTCCCACAGGGTGAAAGGATCACGTTGATTCGACGAGTGGATGAGAACTGGTATGAAGGAAAAATCTCTGGCACCAGTCGCCAAGGCATCTTCCCTGTCACTTACGTGGAGGTGCTCAAACGGCCAGTGGTCAAGAATGCCATTGACTATCCTGACCCACCAGTGTCTCTCTCCCCTAACCGCAGCATGACAGCTTCACCACAGGTATTTGGACTAGATGCAACCCGTTGCAGCACCTTGCAGAACAGAGGGATGTTGCCATTGCTGTGCAAGAAGCAATAGATGAAAAAAGCTGTAGCTAAGACTAGAGTTTTGTGCAGTAAAAGCCATGTGCTCCCTGCAGTATGCTGCAGCTGCAGGAAAAGGTGATGTTTCATTTACCAAAAAGGTTAATGAACGGCTTGTTTGGGGATTTGGAGACTCAGCTTTTCATCTCTGATCTGCTGCTTGATTTCAGGCCAGGTTGAAAGGGCTACAGTTCACTGAATAAATTTCACTGCTAGAGATGGAATCAGTTGGTGATCCAGCTCCTCCTGAATGTGTGTTTATACTTTACAAACCTCCACTGTAATGAGTGGATTTTTCACTATGACTATTAAAAGGATGTCATAGATTGTTATAGTCTGTAGGAGTCGTCATGTTGATCCCAGACAGCTTGAATCAAGTTGCATACTTACTCCTAAATGTTCCAGCTCACAACCAGGGTCTGGAGAGTGGCCTGTATTGCTTGACATTTGTGCTAAATGAACTCAGATTTTGAGAGCTGGCCAGTCTGGGTTCTTCTGTGAATATCAGATTCACTATGTACCATACTGCAGTTCAACCAGAAATTAAAATGGTAGCAGATATTGTATGGGGATACCAGAATGGTTGCCGTGGAAAATGTATCAGGGAGGCAGTGAGTCTCTAAATCCCTTTGTTTTGCTCTCATCCTGCAAATACTCATGCTTGAAGGTCAGCATATGAGTCTGGGTCACAGCCATGAGGTTCTGGTACATCCCTCCTCTCACGTCAGAAGGTCATTCTGAAGTCAAGACTGCAAGGAACAAAAGTGGAGAACAGGGATTGAGAGGAAGGGATGTATGGTACAGGACGGATGGGTAAGGCTGCCATGGCTCATTCCTGGTGTCTGTCCAGATCTTCCCTAAAAGGAGTGTTTTTATTCTTAGCCACAGTGTAAAGAGGAAAGACTTGTTGCTTGTTTGGGGTTCCCTGTCAAAGTGGACCTCAGCTAACCTTTTCTGTTTGAGCTTGGCAGTCTCTCCATAGCCACGGCCTGTCTGCCACCAGCTCTCTGCAAGCTGCTGCCTTTGATGGAAGGGATCGTATCCACCCTTTTTTGGTTTCCTTTGCTTTTCCTTTTATTCCTTCCCTAGTAAATCAATTCTTTCCCTTACTTTTTTTTGCCTGACTTGGTAGAGGACTGAGAAATACTCTGATCAGTGCTAATGTAGCTGGTCTCACTGACATTGCTGGTGGAATAGCTAAGGGCAGAACTCAGTTGTGTGTTCCGCCTTTATAAACATAGGACCTACTTTAATCACTGAAGATGGAATAGCCATAGCCAGCTTTTTTGATCCCTTTCTCCTCCACAGCTTCAGCAATGCAGGTTTCTCGAGGAGCAAGCATTGCTCCTGCTAGAGCTTGGTAAAGTCAAAATTCATTGCAGCAGTGAATTCTGACTGGGTGCACAGTGTGAGTTGCCAGGGCCCCAGCTATTACTGCCAGGCCAGTCAAATACTGCATGCTGCCGTCATGGATGGTGGCTTCAACTGCTCCCTGAGGGACTTAGGGAACATGGTATGAAGTCTGTGGTCTTCCACAAGGTGTTTTGTGTCTGGGATCCTGGCAAAGCCTGGAGAAGGGTATTAGGAGCACAGATACAGACTGGACTCGGTGGTTGGAGTAGCTATGGACAGCACGTTTTTCAACATGGTGCACCTGTCTGTGGAAAACTTAGGTGCCACGCTTGGTCACAGATCTCCTCCTCTCTACACTTGCTCTCTCTCCTTTTACTTTTGCTCCGCCATTTTGTATTTTCCTTTATTATTTTTTCGTTCATTTCTTTCTTTTTCTCTCCTGCTTTTGTCTCCTTCAAGTCTCCCAGCTCTGAGCTGCTCCATACACCAACTCCTCCGCCTTTGCCCTCGGCGCGCCGCGCCTTGTCTCCAGAGGTGCAGGCGGTCACGTCGGAGTGGATCGCTCTGACCGTGGGAGTGTCTCCTAGCCCCACTCCCGCCATAACTCCTCCATTGCCTCCTCCGCCTGAAGCCTCCCTCTCTCACACTGACTATCTCTCGCCTTCTGCTGCAGCCAGCCCTTCCCCCACGGTCAGCCTCCAGCACTCTCACCTCTCTGGCTCCTCGACTCCCAGGCCCATTAAATGCCCATTGCCCTCTTACTCAGCCGGACCTCAGTCGCCTGCCGGCAGTTTCTATCGGGCCGCTCCGCAAAGCGAAGAGAAGTTTGCTGGCTCCCCTTCTCCCAGCGTAAGCTACTCCAACTCCCCTCGCTGGGCAATGGAGAGCCCTGACAGCGTCCTCCCAGAGCAGCGTGACACCGCTAGCAGCCCAGCCTGGCTCCAAAAGAGTAGAGAGGGCAGCAGCAGCCCCCAGCAGGGTGCTCATGCCGTTCCCAAGATCTCTGTCGAGAGCTGCCTGAAACCATCCCAACTAGACATGCGTGCGAGCCCAGAAAGGAGACCTGTGGGTTCCTCTGAGGACAACCAGTTGTGTCAGGAGCTAATGGCTATTGTGCAGGGAGGTAAAACAGAGAAAAGAGCTGTGAGGAAAGGTGATCTGGGAAAGTTTCAAAGCAGGGAAAAGAAGGTACTCCTCTTGCATGTGTGTGTGCTGCTCTGAGTCACTGATCCTAACTCGTGTGTTGAGGTTTGTGCTGCTCTGTGGGCCAGGCAGAGCCACTGGCTGTTGCATATCATTTTGATGGTCCTAAGACCTTCATCAGGGGTCACCAGTGGTGTTCACTGGGGTCAGGAGTAGTGTAGTGAAAATTATTTTAGAATAGGTAATAGCACAAGACTGAGTCAGTTAGTCACGTCTGATGAGGTGATTGCCCCAGGCAGTGGCTATGACCAGATTTGTCAGATGAAAGTATCACACAGACCTCATGCCCACATACCCCACTGTGTAGAGTACACGCCTTCCTTATTATAGATTATATTATTATATTATTCAGAGATTTTCCAGTGTGCAATGGATCATCTTTGGTTATGGCGTTTATTTGTTCCTCCTAAAGCCAAGGACTGAAAAGCCTTGTAAATGTCAGCCTGGCTCCTAGGATCACAGAAGCTGTCCCCTGTTGATCCTGGAGCCTGTAGCTTAGGGAGTCTTAGTTCAGGATGTGTGTGATTAAGTCAAGGAAGCTTGATTGTTACCTATGCACTGAGTGGAATTTATTACCTTTGCATTTCCAAAATGATGTGAAAGGGTCTAGCCACAAATAAGAATTAGACCTGGCGATACTTTTCCCCAAGAGTTTTTAGCTGCATGTACCTGGGTATTACAGTAAGAGGGAACATAGTGAAACCCTCCAGTAGCTTCTATCATGTATCTTCTGCCTCCAGTCTTGGCATAGGACATCTGCCTTACTTTGCAGCTCTCAGTTGACTTGTGGGCTATAGCCAGCCTAAATACATTCCAGCACCCCCGTGCTACCTTCTATAAGAGTGGAAGTTTGGAGAGCTCAAAATCATAGCATTACAAATACTCTCTTACAGGCATTGCAGTAGCCTCTGTGACATACCCAATCTAGCCAATGTTAATGAGGAACTAGGGTTTCTAAGATGGCACATTTCACACTGGGAAGTCTTATGACAAATGGTTTGATTTCTGCTTGAATCAAAACCAGGCGTGTATTGAAAGCTGTCTAAAGACTGTGCAGTTTACCATCTGGATATATTTTTAGCAGCATTTTTTACAAGCATAACCTGCATGTTTGAAACAGAATGGGGTGGTCAGCTCAGACAAACCAACTGGAAACTGCACTTGCCCTTGCATGGAATTACGTTTGCTGTGTGTGCATCAAATTTACTGGACAGTAGATGCTCTTATCACTAGCAGTGATTGTCATAAGAGAGTGTGTACCAAGCTGACCAACTTTTCTTTTCTTCAAAAGACTGCAGACTCAAAAGCATTCTCTTCATCTGCTCCTCTCTCTTCCTCTGCCCTCTCTTCCTCTACTGTCACAACACAGCCACCTCCCAGACTTACACGCAGAGTCAGTAAGCCACAGGTAATCATCTTTGCTGATTACTCTTCCATTACTTGGAGTTGTTTCCATGCCATGCCATTGTTTTGTCATGTGCTTGTTTAACCATTCATTGATTGCACAGGTGAGATATTTCTCCTGTCCTTTGATTCAGACTTTTTTTTTTTTTAAATTAAAATAATTTAAAATTACTTCCAGGCTGTGCAGAAGGGCTGCTATGGGCAAAATCTTCAGCTGGTGCAAATCCACATGGCTCAAATCTGGATTTCTGCCAGTTTGTACCAGCTGAGGATCTGATTTTCTGTTCCTCCAAAGGATTAATTCAGGCCTTATTTAGTTCTGACCTTGAGTTCCTACAGCTCGATTGCATTATAAGGCACTACTGGTGTCATTGTTAGCAGGAATGATATAGCATGAAGTACTTTGGTTCAGGTTTTGTTTAACCACCTGAGATCAGGATTTGAGCATCTCAGAGCAGGGGGTAAGACATACACAGCTTGGCAACCACAATGTCAGGGACCTGTTCCAGCTTTCTCAGGTAGGATTCAGAGGTTCTCGGCTCTATTGCTGAGAGTTGCAAAGATCTTTAAAGAGGGATTCAGTAGGATCTGTGCAACACAGGTGGGGATGTCCAAGGTTTGGGGATTGAGCAGTGCTCGCAGCTTGCTGGTGTCTCATAAGTCCTTCCAGGCAGCTTCCACAAGATGGCAATATTTGAAAGAGAAAGCTCGTTATTAGCAAAACTGGACTGAGTTTGCAGTGATGGGCATTGGGGAAGCAGTCTTTGGCTTGATCAGTGAACTGGGCAGGCTGCTTATGCAGGCTGAATGTGGAAATTAGTTGACAATGTTACTTATTTTCTTCATCAGTTTATGAGAGTGAATTACAGCCTTAACCCAGAAAGTTTCCTATTACCTTTACTTGCCTCATTTCCCTCCACATATTCTGCTTCATGTTAAAAACTCCATGGAAATTTTCTGCATTGGCCTTTTTCCTGACATCTGCTCTGCTTGGTCCTGCTTGTGCTTGCACTGGATGTATGCAACTGAAAAGAGAAGGTGCAAAG